TTTTTTATCTAGGGCAGCAGGGTATTGAAAATACAAAAGTCGAACAATAACCTGGTCCCTCTCATAAAATGGTAATTTCGAAAAATGCCAAAACTACAATATTTCCTTAATTACAGGAACCAAATTGCTAAAAAACTGCCATGTTTATTATTATAGTTTTGGAAAATGGACATGGGATATATTGCTAGCTTTAAACATCAATTTGCTCCAATATACGTTTAGAACAGTGTGCAAGCTTCTACCACATGTGTGGTAGATCTACCACGTATTTTTTTAAATTTGGGTGTCTACTACATCTACCACACAAGGCTTAAAATCTACCACAATTGAGACAGAACATTTGTTTACAATTTTCACATAACTCCAGAATTTCAACTCAATTGTAATTCGAAATATAAAAATTAATCAATAAATTTTTAAAAAGGTACAACATAAATTANCAAGCTTCTACCACATGTGTGGTAGATCAACCACGTATTTTTTTTTTAAATTTGGGTGTCTACCACATCTACCACACAAGGCTTAAAATCTACCACATTTTTAGACAGAACATTTGTTTACAATTTTCCCATAACTCTAGAATTTCAACTCAATTGTAATTCGAAATATAAAAATTAATCAATAGATTTTTAAAAAGGTACATCATAAATTTTGCTTTAAATATATCTGTGCCTTAACTTTCTAATATTTCAAAAATACGCCTATTTATATTTGCTAAAGTATTATGCAATGTAAAAATAATTTGGTCGATTTTTTTGCATACAAATAAAATATTCTTTTCTTCATGATTATATTCTCTAACTAGAAAACTAATGTTATACTTGTTTTTGCACCAATTGCGTGGAATCTGTACGATCCACTAGCAATTATATTTCCCGATTTAATTTTTGAGTTGTGCTTCTTTTGACGACGGTGTGCGATATGTATACCCAATAAAATATGAATTGGAAAATCTACCACATCTTATTCAAATCTACCACATTTTTTTCGATTCTACCAAACTAAAATAAAAATGGGTTTGCACACAGATTTGTTAAATATTTTTTTGGGAAAAGTTGATAATTTGCAACTTATTGTAAATGGTAGAAACCACCACAAATCCACAAATCAGGTTTTAGAATCTTTATTAAATGCTTGATCGAATAGCGAAGAAAAAAGTACGAAGAAACTTGTATTAAGAATTTTTATAAATAAATAATAAAATGTATATGTCTAAAGTTAGAAGTAGAAGTGCTTAAATTTGTTTACTTATTTTAACGTAGATATATAGGTATGTACATATGTAATAATTTCTGCACATACCTTTTATTGGTACATTGGTAATACTTATTTAGAAAGCTGACAATTTTCGAAACAGAGATGTAAAAATCGTTAATAATTAACATTTTTCATAATGACATTCCTGGCACAAAAATATTTCTCTAATTAATATTTTCATTTATTATAAATATTGCGTATTTTTCAGTGGGTTTTGTGTATTTAGAATATTTATATCGATTGATTGGGACTGAATGA